ACTACAAGATTCGTAACCGAACTGGTAGTAGCCCATTCTCTCTGATGTTTGCTCGACAATTGAATAAACCCAAGGACTATACAGATCCCAAAATAAGACCATTCCAACTAAATTGACATCTGAAAAAGAGTTGATAGATAGGGCTGAAATAATGGCTACAATAGTGTTTCCTGCTATCCACGAACGAACACAGATGTGATAATTTCGTATATATGGTAGGTGTTTATAGGCGGAAGTAAGAAATGAGACTCTTTGTTCCTTTATTATAAATTGGAGAGTGTGTCATGAATAAAATTAGAGGTCTTTTTATATACGAATTATAACTTCAGCTACTTTCTCTGCTCAGTTCTAATTGAGGTTTGACACGAGGTGGTGATACCTTAATTTGAAGTACAAATCAATGTCAACATAAAGTAGAGTTTATTACTTATGTAATGTATCCTCGCTTTTGTATGCTTGGAGTCTTTATATAAATATAATCACTCATAATTCCTTTACTTGAAGTTAAGGGCTTTAGAGTTCTTGATCAAAGTACATATGTTATAATATTCCACAGTTACACGACAACCTGGATTTAATGTAAGATATAATCGCAGAGTAAATGTTGTGTGTTACTGGCATTGTGCCTTTAACCACTAGGAATGATATTCACTAGAGTTCTTGTTATAATACGGTATGTGTTATAACGAAGAGGCAAGCTAAATTGTAATTATATTCGGTTTAATAGGAGTAAATACGACAACAGAGATTAGTAGAGGAACAAAGTAAAAGGTTCAATACGAAACACTACCTAATAGACATTGCAGTCGGCACAGCAGTGATGGTGAAATTGCCTAATCGAGCAACGAAATTATCTCCTCTTTATGAAGGACCATACACTGTAGTAAGAAAGACGCAAGCGGGTACGTATGTGCTGAAGGATGAGATGAACGAGTTACTGCATCGAGACTATGTGCCGTCAGAACTAAAAGTTGTATCCATCGATGAGACAAATATAGAAGATGAATTGTATGAAGTTCAAGAGATTCGAGATCACAGACAGGGTTCTGATGGCGAACGCGAATACCTTGTTAAATGGATCGGTTATGGTGAACGAGAAAATTCGTGGCTAAAGACTTCGGCATTTTCGTCTCCAAACACGATAAAAACATATTGGGATAAAGTAAGAGAAGTCTAAAGGCTTACTCAAGAACGTAATAGTAAGCTGGTAAAGAATTCTAAAACGAATCTAAAAATAATTAAGATTGCTCCAAGAAAGAATGGTGACAACACGTATAATTATAATAAAAGAAAAAGACTTAATGACAATGAAAGTAATAATAAACCTGTACAGACGCGACGTACTAGCTGTAATATCGTAGATATCAAATGGGTCTTTATGAATAATCAAAGTAAAGATAGCCTTCTATTAACAGTTGAATGAGCTCGTATTTATACTTTTACGAAGCTGTGTCTAAACTAATAGTAGATCCAATCGGGATTTACTATTCAATCGTTTATCCATTTGAATTGAATAAATGTTTATCCATGTATTCTTATTCGTTCATAACAATCTTTCCATGATTACGATCTCCAGTCTCTCTACTGAGATCTAATATTGGATTTCTATTGTTTCTATGATTCAATACATCTGCGATACAACAGTAGCAATCGGTTAAGAAAAGAATAACAAAGGTAGTTGACGGAAAGTAAACAAAAAAAAAACAAAAAAAAATAACGTTATCACAAGCCCCAAATTATTCGTATCTGATCTAGCGGACGATGAATCTTATTTGCAGTATAAAATAAATACGCATGAATTAGATCTTTTGATGTTAGAGAAGGTTTTCTTCATCGATTCACTATCTTGAATCTAGTGGAGGGAAATGTGCTAAAACCACATAATAAATGCTACTGTCTACAAAAGGAAAGATGTTTAACGGATATAAGATCGGGAATAAGTAACCCGGCTTCATGGAAATTTCTTCGTTATAACACAACTCTAGGCTCCGACCAATGAGAGATCAGAGAATTTAAGGAACAATAATAAATCAAGGACAGCTATCTTACGATTGTGGTGAGGCCGAATAGTATGACGCGTAAATGAACAAAAAAATAAGAAAAGATAAAAACTGTGAGCAGCCGTGAAAGTGATCAATTATGACCACCTGATACTAGCTAATTGAGGCACACAGTAATACAATGTAGAACAAGAAGTAATTATAAGATACAGAAAAACCCAAAAATAATAAAACAGAGCCTTTTACACCCCAATCGAATATAAACCAATATCCGACCATTAAAAGTTGGATTAGTTATTATAGTCAAGAAGAGTATCAAGTAGTACAGGTTACTAAGTCAATGGGTAATTTGAATCCCTATACAACACGATCTTCAATAAACCAAATGAATGGTCCATCATATAATGTGATGTTTTGAGATAAAAAACAGAAGAAAAAAGAATTAAAGAAATGAGTCTCTGTTAATCCCTTATTAAAGTTATGGAGAGAAGGTCATCGCAAAAGGGAGGACGCTTTTTATATCAAAATATCTGGGAGATTAAATCTGGTAAAGAATAGGTAGTGGCTTGTTTCTATCTTCTGAAACATGGCAATTAGAATTATATGGTCTCAAGTCAATCAATATTTTATCATATTGATTGGCCCGAATATGTCATAGTATGAACTATAAGGATATTACATCACAATTCTAATATAGTACGTCTGAGAAATACTTAAAATTTAGTTTAAAGCAAAGAGAGCTAAGAAGACTTAACATTTATTAGAAGAAGACTAAATTAGTGACTATGTAATAATCGTATACATTTTTGGTTAATCAATGATAACTTCAAGATAGCACTAGAGATATGAACACAGCAGACAGTCTTCTATATAAATAATCGTATATTTCATTTATTAATAAAGGACATCTTATAAACAGTCTCAAACTACTCCTATAGTCTTTTTATAATTTACTTTACCTTAAAACACAACAGGCATCAATATAATTTACAAACGAAGCAAAATATTCTCTATTGCAACTATATTAATGATATAACTACTCATAGTAGCGTTTATATAGTAATGTTTTGAGTACAAAATTTAATGATTTCTACTTTATATGGTAGGAGTCTACCAGTCGAAGTTGAAAAAAAGCTGTGTAAACATAAGCCGCGCAATACAAAAAAATACTAATATACGTTTAAGCCATTCAATTAGTAATTTGACGCTTAAACGTCCATAAATACAAGTTGAAATTTACCATAGCTATAAAATATACTAAACTGCAAACACACTTAAAATAATCTTAAGCCTCAATACGCACTCAAGGGCAATAATCTAAGACACTTTAAATTGCATTATTTTGACAGCCTTTTTAATGATTATTTGTACCGATTAAAAGAGTGCAATAAATGGCTGCCTGTGATTTTAGCTAATTTTATTATATCTCATATAACGATTTCTCAACGTTCTAACTAAATCATTTTCCTCTCCCTTCTACACGGCAACTTACGGCAATGTTAGACAGCTGGTGAACCTTCGCCTTATTTCTATCTTTTTATTTTACTCTTTTATACTCAAATTATCACAAAACTAACTGTTTTTCTGAGAGTTGAGAAATGGTAAGGTTGGATTTAGAAATTCGTTACAAATGGAAGGTGCTGTGTGACTCATTTCCGGCATTTGCTAGGGTATAATTAATTTTCCATTTGATGGCAAGTTTCTTAATTGTATTACCTAGTAATTTAACTAAGACTAGAAGCTTTTGCAGCTAATCGACTAATTCAGGAAAGATTATAAAATATAATCTCAGTTTGACAAACAGAGGGAGCTGGTACTGTGCCAGCCCAATGGGAATTATTCGCAATATGGTATTAATAATACATAGGGTATATGTGTTAAAATCAAGTGGCAAGTTAAAAAGTATATTTGTAGAATTAGGCGTCGAATAGGACACATCGAACAAAGATCCGAACAACATAGTTTAAAAGCAATCAAGACACATTTGGAAATAAACTACAAATATCTGTGAACAAGTTGCTTAAAAGGATAAGCAAGTGATAGTGAATCATTTTACCGAAGAAGGACAACATTGTCATTTATAAAGAAGTTTATTGGTCATGTAATGTAGTAAAGCAAAGAATCAAAAAACGTAATATTTTTCAGGTTTAGATGCACAGTTCTAAGAAGTGATAAGTCTCAAAAATAAAGTGAGCTCAGAAATAAATATTGAGGACTTATGGGTTGAGCAAGCCAGAACCGACTTTTCCAACATCACTTTATGTGAAGCAAATATTTTTGGCAACCTGCAATCCCTGTACAATAAGTAATTGCACATTGCATTATTGAAAGGGAGTAATTAATTTCCCTCCTTATTGACTACTTTTGTAATGGAACTATGGATAACTAATAATACAAAAAGTAAATAATGTAGGTTTCGGCTTTATTCGTCACACTTAGTTAGGTCAAATAACATCCAAGGAAAGTAATTCATGTATTGGTTGATCGTTATTTAGTGAGTTGCTATATCAAATTTTGGCAGGGTGGCCATGTTTTCGCTTAAGCATAATAAGCATCAAATGTGCATTTTATCGAAGGTGCTATAAATATATAAAATGTCAGTTGCCATTTTATGAGTTACTGTTACTTTTATTACGCTGCAATCATTGAAACGACTTCTTTGTTGTAACCATTGCGGAGCACATTAATAATAGCATTCTTGCCCGCTGTAAACTTGTTGACAGGTTTGCTGGAAAGTCTTCTTTGTTGTGAGACAAGATATTTATAAGAATCTTGGAACTTTTGGTTTGTATTGTTTGAAATGGGATGAACTGCAACCATATTATGCTTTTATTCGACCACACATTCTTTAAGGTATTTTATAGGAGAATGTGGACTCCCGAAAACGTGAAACTACTTTCAAAGAATCAAAATTTAAACCCCCCGCATAAATCAACTTTGAATCCGGCAAATTGTAAAATGCAACACCATGATATATGTGTATCTACATTATCCGTTTATTTAAAAGTCTCTCAAGATCATAACTACAGAGTCCATTCTAGATTTTGAAACCTCTAAACGCTCCAAAATTTTGTCCATAGCGGCTATTTCTCTCTTCTCACCTTCGCCAAGTAATTCCGGGTTTTCGATGACATCCTTTCTGTTGATTTTATCAATTAGACGTTTTCGGATTGCCAATTCGTTTTGTTTACGTTGTTGGAGGTTGCAAATGATACGATAAGAATCTACCAACAATTCTTGGTAGCATTTCTCGACTGGTACATACCACAAATGAAAACATCTTCCAGGAGCACGATCAGCGGATCTAGGAATTTCCTGAATCTCAACAAAACCCTTGGTCTTTAGTAACGCTAACTTTTCTCTAGTGTCTTTGGGAGGTAACATAGCTAATTTTTGGACTTGAGATTCATCCAACTTTCCACGCTCAATCAAAATTCTCATAATACGACATGTTGCAACACCATAACGCTCTTGCACTAATCCTTCCATAACCTTTCTCTTCATTGTATAACGTAATTTCTCGAAATTTACAGCATATTGATTTGCTCCTCTTTCATCCTTTGATTTGACAAATCCAGCAGCATCTGTTTTAAGTAATGTGATATAGCCTCTTACAGTATCTTGTAAAGATGGTGGCTTATTGGGTTCGAGAATATCTTTCGGTAAATTGATATCTTTTCTACTTGCAATATCAGTTTTGGATATAAGATTGGCGATATGAATTGGTGTTGCAGATGCTTTTAAGTAGCAAATAGTTAATACATACGGGTCTACAAAAAAAAATACCTTCACTTACGAGAGTCATTTTCTTTCAACATCTTCATTTTATCTTTTCCATGTTCTAAGAATGCCTTCACAATTTCGCCTGCTGTTCGATTGATACGTTCGGTAGCGAAATCAACAATTGAATCGTTTCTAAAGACCATGTTGAATTTATCATAATTGACCGAGAAAAAGATTTTTTCATCTACTTCGATAGTTTCTTCCTCTTCTTCGTAATCTCCAAATTCGTCAATCGCCGCACGTTTACGCTGATAATCATGAGGATCTAATGCTTTACGTTTAACACCGATAGTTTCTGAAGAAGCGTACTCGGCATCAATTTGTGCTTTTGCTGTATTTCTAATTGTTTGTATTTCTTTCGATGTCATGATGGTGTACTTCTCTGATTCCTTTTCTGTGGCCGCCAAGAAACGATCAACAGTGGAACGACTGTGCTCAGGCATAACTGCTTTAATATATTTATGTGATACTAATTGTCCAAAAATATTTAAGGCTTTGTCAAGGTCTATTTAGAATGACATTAGTGGTATGCATTATGCGTTGCTGTCAGCATATATCTTACTGGTTTTGGGCTCATGTTCTATGATCCATTTTTCTACGCCTTTGATGGTCATTCTTCCGTTAGCAAACAGAATTTTGCAAATAATTTGGGCCTAAAGTCCAGTCAGAACATTTACTTATTACAAAATAGTTTTTAGTACCTCTTTTCCAAAACGATCAATAGCGTCTCTCATAATGGCACCCATGCGCAAACGCATCATGACTCTCTCTGCATCTGTGGTATAATAAGTAGGTTCGTTTTTTCCTTCAGGAGATTCGGAAAAGAAAGTGATTCCGTGTTGGATAAGTACGACTAAACATTCCCGAACTTGCTTTGCTGGTAAAGAAGTAAACCGAGCGAGATCTTGAATGGTCAAACGTCCTTTCAAGAGCATTTGGCGTGCAACTTGCTACAGAGGTGTTAATATTCCAATTCTATATCAATTCTTATCCTTCTTTACCGAGACAAAAGGCCCAAAGTCCTCCAATAAAATTTCTTTACATAAACGAGATTCTGAAGACATTGGTGAAAGTTGACTTGTGCAAAGTAAAGAAAAAAGACACCTTGTCTCTTTTTTTTAAAAAAAAAATTGGGGCTTGGAGAAAGAGTTCTGTGACTTTTTTTAAATGAAGCACTTTGACAGTTGTAGACACGATAAGAGGGTTTATTTCATGCTTTCCTCGAGAATCGGAATTATTTATTTACTTTATTGTCATTGTTAAAACGTGCTTAAGCAGAAGATTTTCGAGAATATATCTTGTCTTGCTGCTTACAAAGTTCACACAAGTCTTGAAAAAACCTATGTATGAAGTCAACAAAAATAATAACAGATACACAACACGATCATACTTTATTTTATCAGACTTTTGATATGCAGATACCCTACCACTTGTACTCGGCATAACAAAAATAATAGTTTCACCATCGCCAGTAGACCATGGAATAGTTTGCTCTTGTAATCCCAAATTGCATTTTTGTCTAGAGTAAATTTCATAAATCCCCTTACCAATGAAGCAAGCAATTCGCGGTCGAAAAGTTGCAATTTTAGCATTTAATATAGGGATGCGTTCCCTTTGTTCTTGCAAACTTAATTGAGATGCTGAACGGGTAGTTCTTGCTGTTAAATTAGTGAAACCTAGTCCATACCTCGCAGGCAATTCATTGTCGTCTTCGAACGTCACCTTACGGTCAACTAAACCGCTTGCAGATAAACATGGCCAAAAATGATTTGTGGGTCCTGCATAATGATGTCCTTTTGCTGTACTAGTCAGCCCTGGATTGATACCAATAAACAGCACTTTCAGGTCATAATCTAGTAGATCATGCACTCCTTTATCTTCTTCTTCTATCGACTTTATATCCTCTTCTTGTTTCACTGTTATCGATTTATGATCATCCCCAACCTTTGCCAAACCTGCCTGTTTATTGAAATACGGAGATACAGTAGGCCCTTTTCTAGTCTTCTTACTAGGTGGCATGCTTTTTAAGTAAAAGAGGAGAGAATTTACATAACTTCAACAAACGCGAGCTTAGCCTCAGTGTGACTGGAATAACAACGTACTTTGATACGTAGATTGAGGGAACCGAGTTACTCTTATTTTATCGGGAATCGTCCTACATCGGATGTCCATTATGGTTCTTATTTTAACGCAATATTATTAAATGTAATACTGAAAAGCTTTTCACAATCAGTGGGCTACTGCCTCCAAACGACTGATTGCAATAAACTATTACCCCAAGCACGCATGTAGCATGTGGATACAATGACCCCTATAGTTTTAGATAATGTTTTTGTTTATTTATTCGCTATAAATGACTATGTGTATGGCACTATGTGGCGCAATATGTTTCGTACTATTTTTAACAAACCGTTGCAGTACATGTAATCTCATGATCAACTGCATAAGGTAGGTCCGAAATATGATTACACGCCATTTTTGATTATAGGTGTTTCCATTTAACACTTCCAACATGGACAGCAGGAGATATTTTCTTTTGCGAGCCCTTATAAACATAGGTTTGTCCCTGGTAATACTTTTCGGTGTATAAGGTAACCTGCAAAAACGATTCAGTCTTGAAAGATCCAACAGACATATTACCACTCTTTGCACCAGCACCCCCACCGACCGCTACACTGCCACTAATTATGCCAGCGTCCACTTTGTAATTTGGTTTTTGATAGAAAAGTATTTGGAAAGAATCACCGTCTTGAGCATAAACAGAAATGATAAATAAGCAGAGAATGCAATAAAGAAGCTTCATGTTAAAAAGATAAGGAGAAAAGGAAGCAAAACTTTAGGTTAAAAATGTATAGCTTTTAAAAAAATCCTTCCAGAAAGTCACTATTTACAACCGTACTGCAAATCGCTAGAAAAAGGTACATATTTGAGCCCTCAATAGCAGCTGTTGAAACCTGTCATGCAAAATTGTAATTAACAGGTACAGTCACGTAGAGTATCGCTATAGACACCACATTAGCCAGAGCTGATTGGGAATGACACGTTTAATATTTTTTGGGTGCACTTTTTTTTTTCTTCATCTACACAACTTTAAAGCATCATCAATATGGACGAAGAGTCAATTTTATTCGGTCTCCGTAACCTTTTCACCGTTGGAAATTACCAAACAGTCATCAACGAAGTGAGTTCCAGCAATGGCCTATTTTCCACAGACGCCAAGTTGGAGGCACAAACTTATTTGTACCGTTCTTATGTGGCCCAAGGCAAATATAATTTGGTTATCAATGATATTGGTTCCAGTACCGAAGCATCTTTGAAGGCTATCCAGCTTTTGGCTTCCTATTTAGCTGATGTACAAAAGAATGCTAACAATGCACAAGAATATGCTGAAAAGGCAAGCGCTTTACTCGCGGAAGGCGCTAATCGTATCAACCCTGTCGTCCAAGTGGTTCTCGCCACCATTTATGTCCAAGCGGGTAACCTTGAAGATGCTTTAAGAACACTTCATTCTCGTCAAAAGAAGTTAGAATGGTAAAAGCATTAAACCCATTTCAAAAAAAAAAAGTTGTGTTTCATTAACAAGTTTATAGTTCTGCTTTAGCTGTCCAAATTTACCTTCAGATGGACCGTTTGGATTTAGCTAGAAATGAAGTTGCTACCGTAAAGACCTGGGCTGAAGATGCCTTATTGTTGCAAATGATGGAAGCTTGGGTTGATCTTCGTGTTGTAAGTGGTTGGATTGTTACTGTATAAACTCATTTAATTAATAACTTTCTTTTTATTCGGAAAAACAGGGAGGCGAAAAGTACCAAGAAGCTTTTTATATCTATGAAGAGTTTAGTCAATCCAACACAGCTCAAACAGTCAAGGTTTTGAATGGTCAGGCTGCTGCTAATCTTGCATTGGGCAGATATCCTGAAGCCGAAAGTTTATTGTTGGAAGCCCAAAATAAGGTACAAAAAAAAAGAGGGATAGAAGAGATAAGTGAACTAAGTTTATATATCTTAGGGCTCTGATGACCCAGATACACTTATCAATATGATTGCATGCGCTACATTAACAGCAAAGCCTCAAGATGTTGTCAATCGTTATGTCAGGTAAGCAAAGATAACTTTGGGCCATGATCCAGGATTAACATGTTGTAATAGCCAATTAAGAGAAATCGCACCACAACACCCTTACTTACAAGACCTTGACTTGAAGTCGAGCTTATTTGACCGTAGTGCCTCTCGTTTTGCTTTGGTAGACGCTGCTTAAATTTAATATAAATACAAAATAAAAATGTAATAGCTTTTCAGATGAACGACTATGAAGACAATTATGCAGTGAATCAAGTGATATTTGAACCTTAAAGGACATGGTAGGAGTCTTGATTGATAAGATAGCATAAGACTTTTTTTATTCTTGGGATAAAGTGTGTCTTCTACAATTTCTGGAATCGGATGTGCTTCACCAAAGCTAAGGCCTGATGTCAGGAAATATCGTATTTATATGCAGCTTTTTCTTGTCTTTTGGGACAGGACATAGCATGAAGATGATTCCTAATATGGGACTTATGAAGACTTTGATCTGTTTTGTTTGCTTTGGATTTATGCCACGAATTATGGAACCGTTACTTATGATGGTGCTCACTCACAATTAAAATAAGACATTAAGCCTTCTGGTGACAAACATAAAACCATAACGGATCAAGTTTTCTAAACTGAAGCCGAAGGTATAAGTTAAGGTTTTTAATTTTGAATAGAACATTAAATTAAACAGTAATGAACAAATCGCAGATTGTGGCAAAACCTAAGTCGTATATCATTCAGTATTGCTGTATCAAAATAACCAGGTTACGATGACTATGCTTAAAGCGCGTAGGGCAAGATGCTTTTGTTAGTACAGAAGCAACTTACTTACGCTTGTAGTTTGTCATCAATGAAATATTAATTATAGGTGTGTGATATATTCATCTTGAGCGGGAATATTAGTTCGGTAAGCATGTGTTTGAAACATCTAGACCTCTTTTCTACCACTCCATTGAATAAGCTTTTATTTTTTCAATATTCATTGCTTTAAAAAGTTTTAGTGGAACTAGTCATCGAATGCTTGGAACGATCTTTTATACAAAAAATCCGGGTTTTCAAAATTTATTGGAGTGATACAAAATAAAGTTATGCTTCTCGAACTCTCAAAGTAAAGTTTGTGCGTAACGATTAAAATGTTGTACGATCGAATCTTCATTAAAAAAAAAGAAGGCGAATCCGAAAAATTCATCATACATAGGTGGTTACAGCTGTGACGCAAACGGATGTCAAAGAGTGATTGTACTCTCTATATATTGATCCTTTCAAAAACATATACAAGAATGATCTTAATTCAAATTCTTTTATGTTAAGCAAAAAGTAGACTAACACGAATATTCTGTTGGCATCATGCTACCTGGTAGTATACCAAGATATTTGATGAATAATTGGTATAAGAGAATTAGGTCTATTTTTAAGTATACATGTGTACGCAGATATATCAATAAGAGGATACCAGGCACGCCTCTCTTTGTGCACCCAAATAAGTGTCAAGCTACACAATTAATCGTTAGTATTGAGTTAATTTATGTTTCTAGATCTCCAGTATTACATAGTTTTGCCTTGTCAAATACAAGGCCACAAATCTGTATACGTAATTTATATATATAAGCTTGGATTCAGGCTTAATACCTACTCACTTTTTGTCTTTTGGGGCTAATACTAAAACAATATAATTACATTTGCTACAGAAGTACGTTTTTAGAAAGATAAAACAATTAAATCATAATTATATCATAATTATATCATCTTTTGTTAACTAAAAGTATTTCTAATAAATTCACTTGAATAATACTTAAAGATATCATCAGGACTTATGGAAACCAGTTTTTATTCGTTACTGTTTTAGATGTAAGGCAGAATATTTCGACAGACTACACTTTTAAATTTGGTGGAGACAACTGGGGTGGTTGACGACGGTGACATTTTTTTAACCCGATCAACTGGTGATCGATACATAATAAAAAAGAGTAAATTCAATACAAATGCAAAAGAGAATGAGACATGAACTCTACTTTTTAAGGGGTTGTATTTTCAACATTATTATACAGAGAACGCAAGTAATAAATTAAATATGCAGGCGCTTGATATTGACTGTATCTTAGAGAGAGCGCGTTGTTTGATGCCAATTACGAGGTGTTAAATCATGCGGACGATGTAGATACACGCTTATGCCTGATAGTCTAAGCTGGTGCGTTATCATTCTCATCAGCTGCCAAACACAGGTGATTGGCTGAAATTAAACTCACACAGGACGGCCAAAGTGCGTTACTTCGGCAGACACACTGCTTTTATCTCTTCAAGTAAGACAAGATGGGAGCAGGAGCATCAAAGAACAAGATTACCTCACAAGATAAGGCTATATTAGACCTCAAAGTTCAGCGTGACAAGTTGAAAAGATACCAGAAAAACGTAAATGAACAACACATGAGGTGATTTTTTTTTTAGAACTAAATCAGAATCTAGCTTAATGTAGTTATCGAAAAAGAAGTAGAGGCAGCCAAGTTGGCTTTGACACAGGGCAATAAGAAAAAGGCGCTTTTAGCATTGAAGAAGAAGAAATATCAAGTTCAATTATTGGACAAAACAGATCAACAGCTCATGAACCTTGAAGAACTCGTAAGTAAAGCATAGAAGGAAGAAGAAGAAAAAATCTGACTAAAGGGATATGATAGACACATTCGATAGAATATGCCCTAGTAGAGAAGGAGATTTTGGAAGGATTAAAGAGCGGTAACGCTGTATTGAACGAGATCCATAAAGAGACATCGGTAGAAGCCGTAGAGAAATTGATGGATGACACAGCAGAGGCGATAGCTTATCAAAATGTAAATCTTGAATTTTTATAGATTTAAATATTGGATGGTGTTCTAATACAGTTATAGGAAATTGATGAAATGTTGACAGGACTGATGACTTCAGAAGATGAGGAAGAAATCATGAAAGAGTTGGATGAATTGAGAGAGCAAGAGGTAAATCAAAATTCACCGATAAGGGAATATAGAACAAAAATGGTTAACTTCATTTTATAAGTTGAGTGCTGAATTACCAGATGTACCCAATAACAAGCTCCCAGAGGTCGACATTGTTGATAAGCTACCGGAGGTTCCAACGCACGCACCGAGTAGCGGGAAGGAAGGTAAGCGAAAACCCAACTCCATTAGGAAAGTGTGTCTTACCTAATTACTGACTTTATTCGATAGCCGCTAAACCCAGCAAAGAAAGACAGGCAATGCTCGCTTGAGCACACGACTAACCTTTTTTTTTTTATCTTAATTTGATTTAATTATAAATTTCGGATTATTCCTTTTCCCAATAATTCTTTTCTTTCTGTCTTTTATTTTTCTAAATAAAAATGCTTAAAGAGGACGATAAAAAGTTCGAAGCTAATTTCGACATAACAACTGAGGTTGATTACGAGGATGATGTTATTAAAGATACTCAAAGAAACGCCAATTCGTATCGCCATGTAGCCGAGGGTATTCCTGTCGCTGCTTGGTTTATTCTGGTCAATGAATTCTGGTAAGTTTAATTGTGTAAAAAAAAAAAAAAGCTGATTTTTAACCCTTAAATGCTATAGTGAAAGGTTAGGGTCTATATATGGTGCGACATATTTCCCACGATTCTAACATTTTTTACCACGATTATCTAGATTCGCCTACTATGGTGGTTCTGTTCCTTTCCAAAATTATGTTCAAGTAATTATTTGTATTCTTTTTTTTTTTTTCTGCAAAAACTAATTTTGATTTTTATAGAATGGCCCCATGGATGATCCTGCTGGTGCACTGAATAGGGGACAGTCTACAGCTACTGCTTTGCAAAGTTTCTTTACTTTCTTCTGTTACTTTACTCCCATGTTGGGTGCTTTGGTTGCTGATCAATATATTGGTCGTTACTGGACAATTATCATCTTCTCCATCGTTTACATGCTTGGTTGGTTAATTCTTACTACAACTTCAGTCCCTGCTGCTCTTGAGAGCGGTGCCGGTTTCCCAGGTTACATTGTGTCACTTATTGTTATTGGATGTAAGTTTAGATTTGTGTGATGTTAAAAAACGAGGATGGTTTTGCTGATTTAAATTTCTATAGTCGGTACTGGTGGTATCAAGGGTATTGTCGCCCCTCTCTGTGCAGATCAATATAGAAGAACAGATAACTACGTCAAGGAACTTAAGACTGGTGAATTAGTTCTTGTGGATTATGATCTCAGTATTCAACATTTGTACAACTGGTAAGCTTTATTTTAATTTCTGTCAATTGTCAAACGATAAAAAAAAATTTTTTAAGAATACTGACTCCGTTTCATTTTGATAATCTACTTTTTCTTGCTTAATTTAGGTTTTATTGGGCTATCAATGTCGGTTCCCTTTTAGGTGGTGTTATTTGTCCCCTTTTGGAATTAAATGTTGGTTTCTGGGCCGCTTACTTGTTACCTACATGTATGTTTGCTGTTGCCATCATGGTATTCATTGCTGGTTCCAAGTCTTATTACAAGCCTGGACCCACTGACTCTGTCATTGTTAAGGCATGGAACTTAATCAAGTTTGCCAATAAGCAAGCAAAATTACCCGAGAACAAGGAAGCTCGCAAGAACTGCAAGGATGTTTTGGATTTCGCCAAGAGAAACAACGAAATGAATGCTGTCAGCTCTTGGTCTCCCGATCAACATGCTACAGCAAAGTGGAATGATACATTTGTTGACGAATTAAAGCAAGCTGTTATGGCCTGTAAGATTTTCATTCCCCTTTCCATTTATTGGGTTTGTTACAATCAACTTTCCAACAATCTCTTGTCTCAAGCTGGTGTCATGTCTCGTCCTGCTGGTCTTCCCAATGATATTATGAACAATTTCGATCCTATTGCTCTTATTATTTTCATTCCTATCACTGATGGTCTTGTCTATCCTTTCTTGAGAAAGATGAACATCAGTTTCCCCTCTCAAGTACGTATCACTCTTGGTTTCTTCCTTGGTGCCCTTTCCATGGTTTATGCTGCTGTTGTGCAACATTATATCTACATGGATGAGGAATTTATTCTTTCAGAAGGTAAATCATCCAGTGTCTCTGTCTTTTTGCAAATTCCCTGTTATTTGTTGATTGCTTTCTCTGAAATTTTCGCATCCATTACATCTATGGAATATGCTTATACCCATGCTCCCAAGTCCATGAAATCACTTGTTTCTGCCGTTTCCTTGTGGCCCAATTGTGTCGCCGCCTTGATTTCTCTTGCTATTTCTCCTTCTGCTAAGGATCCCAACATGGTATGGGTTTATACTGGTGTTGCCATTGGTGCCTTTGCCTTTGGTATCCTTTACTACTACATGTTCAGACACTACGATGTCATTGATGAACAGTTCCGTCTCAAGAAGATGGCTGACCAAGATGCTGCTGGTTATGGTATGAACGAAAAGAATGTTCCCATTATCGTTGCTGAGGCCGAATCCGAAGCCATGGAAATGCATCATTAAACTAGACTTACATCCCCCTCCCCTCCCCTCCCCTCTTAATCATTACCGTGTATATTTATAAACAATTAAAGTTTTGCTTTTCATTTATTTAATTTTGTTGTTCGTATTTTTCTTGATGGTCTTTGATTATTGTTAAATACATTTCCTTTGGATATTCACTTCCTCTTATTTGAAATGTGTAACAAGCTTTTTTTTTTTTTTTAGTTTATGCAAAATGTTGAAATCCAGCTTTTCCTCAATTTTAATTTACCTTGTTCCACCTTCTTAATGCTACCTTTCAAAGCGCCCATCTTTTTAAATAATTGAGGCATATATGCTGAAGCAATCAGTTCAAAGTCTATTTACGGGATTCAGTTGTCGCGTCATATAATGATACTTTTTTACAGAGTATTACCTGTATCGATCTTTCTCAATAGCTTACAAATCAACATGGCCTGATCGTAGTTTCCTGTAGAGACTACATAAATGGCGTAACGCATCAACTCCCCTGTAAAATCAGCCAATCCTAGAATCTATTCGCTCGTTGCATAAGTACACAGGGTAAAACGATTCTCGGACTTAACTTACATAATCTTCAGTCTTGACAGTCAGCCATTTTTCGTCGGTCTCCTTATCAATGAAATAAGCATCCACTTGATCTTTTGTGATGACGTTTTGGTGAACTAAAAAGTGATAAAATGCGATAGCTTCGATCTAATAATGACATGAATTAAATCACTGGTTGTCCTTGTAAGATGGCGATTAACTTACAAATTCTTCGAAACCACCCGAGAAACTTCTGGAATATCTGGTATTTTAATGACGTGTTAGATCTTTTTTTTTTTTTTTGCATGAAAGTTTATCGCATTTTCCGTACCTATGATAGTCTAAACCTTGAATATCTTGAGCCAACTTTTTAAAGAGTGAAATGATCTCCTCTTGTTTTTTATCAACTTCTTTAAACTTTTCTTTATGATTCATTTGTGATGCTCTGCATAAAATAAGTATGGCAGTCGTCGAGTTTCTTTTTTTTTTTTTTTAATAATTTACCTGTGCAAGGCAAAAATCATTTTTTTGCTCTGTGCTGTGATATCTCTGTCACAAAATAAAAAGGGGGGAGGTTACAGCAACTGACAATCAGCTCAGTTGTGGTAATTACCTTGACACCTTGATGATTCTTTCTCTTCTATCATGCTAATAGAATTATTTAGTCGTTGAGTAAAGTATAAAGTCAATCGTCTTTTACGTGAGCATCTAAAATGTCTCTACATTCCGTAAAGAAAATTTGTGGATCCATGTTAAAAATAGATAACAAAAAGAAACTTTTTTTTTTTTTCTTATTTGCGCGTTTTTATTCCGCAATTAAAAAAATAATAATAATGGCACAAGGAAAAATAGCGCTTATTTTGGTTGACATACAAAACGACTTTCTCGAAAAGGGGTCTCTAGCTGTAGCTAATTCAAACAGTATTTTAAAGCCTGTCATTGATCTCATTACTAAAGTCAAATGTAAGCAAGGTCTTGTTGTAGCAACTCAGGTAAGGAAGAGTAAGAACTCAACAAGCTTATCGACTAACATGTGTTTTTTTAGGACTGGCATCCTAGTAACCATATCAGTTTTGCTTCTAATAATTCAGATAAGCAGCCATTCGAAACAAAGGATATCGAGTATGATGGAAATCTGGTCTCACAAGTGATGTGGCCCGATCATTGTGTGGTATTTTTTTTCTGTGTATTCATATATATCATGACCATGCGTTTCTTACATATTTGTTAGCAAGGAACATTTGGAGCAGAAATCTCTGATAAGATTTCCTTGGATGACATTGATTATGTTGTTCAAAAGGGAACAAATCCCCGAGTTGATTCTTACAGTGGTTTTGCAGATAATAATTACTCTGAAATCACACAGTTAGCCAAGATACTATATCAAAATCATATCGACACTGTCATTGTAGTTGGACTTGCAGCTGATTACTGCGTTAAAGAAACTTGTCTTGACTCTGTTAAATTTGGGTTTAAAACTATACTGGCTATTGACGCTACCAAACCAGTGGATTCTAATCAGCTTGAAGCTACTCTTTCTCAATTGAAATCAAAAGGTGTCTTGATTCAACTTTGAATTATAAATTTTCAAAGTTCAATCTCCCCTTTATAAACATACAATAATTTAGTTTCCTTTTCTCCATATTCAATTTTTTTTTATTTTATTTTTTTTTTACTATGGTCAAAGATAATGGAGGGACACCTCTATTTGTATTCATTCCTTTAATTGTCTGCATTATTTCCATTATATTTTTACTGGATATTCGACGTCGACGAAATCTTCCTATTCAATTCAGTAAGACCCTTTTACTTTCTTTGTCTTTTTACAATTCGACTCATCTCGTATTTAGACACCATCCATGATGAACCTGATCTTGTTGATGACGAACTAATACCTGACGAAGAGGAGGAAGATTTAGAGGAAGATGATGCTGGTGAAGGGTCTTCTACTGCTGTGCGAGTTAGAAGAGTAGGAACTAAGCGAGGAGAAAAACTTCGAAGAAAGGAGCAAATGAGGCAATACAGAGAGGTATGATTCTCGGGGACTATTTATACTATATGCTAACCTTAAACAGTACATGGAACAACAACGACAAATACGTAAAGCACAAGAAGAAATATACGAGGAAGAGTTCAGACGCAGAAAGCTGGAAGAGTCAATAAAAAGAACTGATGAGATGGACAAGCGTAAACGAGAAAAGGAAAAGAAAGCAAAAGCGGATGAAAAGGAAGGATTGAAAAAGCAAAAGAATGAAGAAAAGGATGCTAAAAAGAGACAGGCTAGGTTTGACAAATACAAAGAAAAAGTGAAAAAGCTTGTCAAGGTAAATTGCATTATTTGTTTGTTGTTGTTTTTTATTCATACGGTAGGATAGGAAACCAAACTATGCCAACTCAATGATCTTGCTAAATTATTGGGGTTATCAAAAGAGGAAGTGGTTGATATATTACAGCAATTATGTGCTCAAGATATGGAATTCGAATTATGTTTATGGTCTGGTACTGACACATTTTTATTCATTACAAGAGATGACTACAATGACTTTTCACAAAACCTGAAGGGTAAAGGAAAAATATCAGTTGAAGATGGTTACATATAAAGTTATATTTGAATCTTTGATATGACATCTCTTAAACTCTTCATCACAAATATATCTCGGTCCGTTTTTTCTTCTTCATCTGAAGAGATATGCACCGCTGATATTCTGTCTGTTAATTCGTTCAGTTCATCCATTGTATCCTTTGGTATAAAGTGCTTTAGTAGCTTTATGATCTATCGTTAAAACAAATAAATATAAAATCATTCTAATCATTTTCTTATTTGGTAAATTTACTTCGACAACCTGATCCATGGTTTCCATCTTTACTGTATTTGTTTCTTCCGAGAGCTTGATCAACAAGTCTAGCCGAGCATTTGCAAGATCCAAAGGTGTTCTTGATGCCGCTCTCATACGGACAGGTAGTGGTAATCCATCGTCTGCATTGATTTTGTGTTTGTTATCTGCATAATTGGCTATTTTGGCTCCATTTTCCAATAACGCTAATACTGTATCCACATTGTTCGAGATAACCGCTAAATCAAGTGGTTTGTTTCCCACGATGTCTCCCATCGGATTATTGACGTCGGCTCCCCAGCGAACTAATTGCCGAACAACAGCTGCTTGGCCTGCGGCACAGGCTACAAGCAAAGGCGTTCGTAATTTCGAGTCTCGAATCATGTCTGGATTCAAACCGGCCTTCTTTTCTTCCAACAAATGTGTAACTACAGGCTGGTTAATGACATGTTTATAACGTAAGAGCTTTCACCTAACCTTTTGGTAAATCGCCTTTGGAACAAGCTGTCATGAGTTCTTCGCGTTGCTTATTGTTAATTAACATGTCTTTTAGTCGTGTTGATGTAGAACCTTGGTCGTTTCTTTTAGATATAGTGTGTGATCTTGGTACTTTATATCGTAATATATCATTGGGTGTTCTACTTGACATGGCTTGAGATTTAAAAAGAGAACAAATACACTTTTTTCAGAAATTATTGGCACACTTCAGGAAACTAAATCACACAGAGTTATTTTTAGATTTCACTCAGATGGCACACTCTTTACAAATAGATTTCTCACTTTTACTTGAACACATTATTTAGAGCAAAAATAAGCGTACGATTTATCTATGAACATGGGAAAGGTGAAGTTGTAGATGAAAGTGAAAATAGAGCATTTTGATATGGATATTGATACTGAAGCATATCCCATCGACTATATTACCAATTTTGATAAGCATTTGGACTGTAAACCACCTAAAAAAACGAAAGAAAAACCTCACGATGAAAAACAAAGTCTCCATGAGAAGCCTAATAATAAAAAAAAAAAAAACGAAAATGAAGTTCGCGCATATCGGAAACATGGTGATGATGTCAAAGAACAATTATTTTTCTTAGTTTACGAAAAGGCCATGACTTCAGGACAGGCAGCAAAGCAGCTGGGGGTCAATAGGCGTACGGCGTACAACTGGGTTACAAAGGATCAAGAAAATCCGTCAGATATTCTAGAGCCAAATAATGGAAAAAAGGTGGGTCGTCCTTCGATTTTGAACGAAGAGCATAAACGGCACCTTGTCGGCTTTTATGATGATAACCCGTCTGCTGTAGTTGACCAAGCCATGGATAGTTTGACTAGTGAGTTCACTGGTTTAAAAATAGGGAAGACATCCGTTTATAACTTTATGACAAGGGAATGCAACTTGACTTTTAAAAAAGCTCACATGCATTCGATTCAGAGAAGCAACCCTGATAATATTGAGCGAAGATATAAATGGGTTTTAAATGGGGTAAATGAGACGGATATGGATTACATGAGCAATTGTGTTTTTATAGATGAAGCCGCTTTCCATATAAATCTCAAGAGGTCCATTGCGTGGTCAAAAAAAGGAACTAGAGCTGAAGTAATTGTACCTGAAACTAGAGCAAGAACGACAACGATTTTGGGTGCAATTTTGCCGTTTGGGGTTGTGAATGTTCAGCTACAACGGCGACCGACAATACCATCTAAGAAGAGAAGGCTCGGCAGCAATGGCTTGGTTGTTAGCGGCGCCGGCGGTACAGTAACTGGCCATTATATTAGCTTCATCAAAAGTACCTTGGATGTCTTGGATAACTATGAGGAGTTTAAAGGACATTATATTATTATGGATAATGCACCGATCCTTACTTCAAAAGAGATTGAACGTTATGTCACCAGTCGCGGCTCTGGTTGTATATATCTTCCTCCATACTCTCCTGAACTCAACCCAATTGAGCATTTGTGGTCTGTTGTCAAAAGCAAACTCAAGAAAGAAAAGCTTTTGGAAAAGGAGACAATCTCCAGCAGAATCAAAGAAGCATGCAACAGCATTCTCTTTAGCGACCTTTGAGGATTTCGTCATTATTCCACTACAAAATTTAACGATTGCTTAAAAAAGAAACATTTGTAAAAAGACTACAGCGTCTAAAATAAAAAAGATATATGCTTTACGACAAAATGTCGGGCTCACAAAACGTACGCTCATTTTTGCTGTAAATAATGTGTTCAACTAAAAGTAAGCAATCTATTTGCAAAGAGTATGCCATCCAAATTTATGCACTTGTGAAAATTAAAATTCAGGGACTGTGAAATCTAAAAATAACTCATCCGTCTTACAATCTGTCTTATTTCAACCGTCTTTCAACCGTCTTTCAACCGTCTTTCATCCGTCTTATTTCATCCGTCTTATTTCATCCGTCTTATTTCATCCGTCTTATTTCATCCGTCTTATTTTAACTGTCTTTCAACCGTCTTTCATCCGTCTTATTTCACCCGTCTTATTTCACCCGTCTTATTTCACCCGTCTTATTTCACCCGTCTTATTTCACCCGTCTTATTTCACCCGTCTTATTTCACCCGTCTTATTTAACTGTCTTTCATCCGTCTTATTTCATCCGTCTTATTTTAACTGTCTTTCAACCGTCTTTCAACCGTCTTTCAACCGTCTTTCATCCGTCTTATTTCACCTGTCTTATTTCATCCGTCTTATTTCACCCGTCTTATTTCATCCGTCTTATTTTAACTGTCTTTCAACCGTCTTTCAACCGTCTTTCATCCGTCTTTCATCCGTCTTATTTCACCCGTCTTATTTCACCCGTCTTATTTCACCCGTCTTATTTCACCCGTCTTATTTCACCCGTCTTATTTCACCCGTCTTATTTTAACTGTCTTTCATCCGTCTTATTTCATCCGTCTTATTTTAACTGTCTTTCAACCGTCTTTCAACCGTCTTTCAACCGTCTTTCATCCGTCTTATTTCACCTGTCTTATTTCATCCGTCTTATTTCACCCGTCTTATTTCATCCGTCTTATTTTAACTGTCTTTCAACCGTCTTTCATCCGTCTTATTTCACCCGTCTTATTTCACCCGTCTTATTTCACCCGTCTTATTTCAACCGTCTTTCATCCGTCTTATTTCAACCGTCTTATTTCACCCGTCTTATTTTAACTGTCTTTCATCCGTCTTATTTCATCCGTCTTATTTTAACTGTCTTTCAACCGTCTTTCAACCGTCTTTCATCCGTCTTATTTCACCTGTCTTATTTCATCCGTCTTATTTCACCCGTCTTATTTCATCCGTCTTATTTTAACTGTCTTTCAACCGTCTTTCAACCGTCTTATTTCACCCGTCTTATTTCACCCGTCTTATTTCACCCGTCTTATTTCACCCGTCTTATTTCACCCGTCTTATTTCACCCGTCTTATTTTAACTGTCTTTCAACCGTCTTTCAACCGTCTTTCAACCGTCTTTCATCCGTCTTTCATCCGTCTTATTTCACCTGTCTTATTTCATCCGTCTTATTTCACCCGTCTTATTTCATCCGTCTTATTTCAACCGTCTTATTTCAACCGTCTTTCATCCGTCTTATTTCAACCGTCTTATTTCACCCGTCTTATTTTAACTGTCTTTCATCCGTCTTATTTCATCCGTCTTATTTCATCCGTCTTATTTTAACTGTCTTTCAACCGTCTTTCATCCGTCTTTCAACCGTCTTTCATCCGTCTTATTTCACCTGTCTTATTTCATCCGTCTTATTTCACCCGTCTTATTTCAACCGTCTTATTTCATCCGTCTTATTTCACCCGTCTTATTTCAACCGTCTTATTTCATCCGTCTTACCATCCGTCTTATTTTATCTGTCTAGTTTTAGCTATACCATCTCTGTTTTTTTATTTTTCATTTTAATTGCTGTATCAATTATAAACCTAAGTGATTTACTTTGAGACTGTTTATAGGTTGTCTTTATTGGTAATATATTATTCATCATTTTGATCGTTGAATTAGCTTTTTTCTGCAATCAAATCTTTCAAGTACTTGATTATCTGACAGCAGAAGTTGAGAGTCCAGAAGAAGAATTTCGTTATTAGAAATAAACGTTTCAATAGCTACTTTCTTTATGATAGGGTACTCTTCTAACAAATCTTTTACAAGATAGGCACGTGAAGCTATCCCAGCAAAGTCAATAGAAGTCAAACAAATATCATGATCAATGGATTGCAGATACTCTAACATATCTATTGTGAATCAAATAGAGAGTTAGTGATGGGGTTTTCAATCTATATGCTGTAGTATTGCTTTACCTGAAGTATTTCCAGTTACATGATTGAGTTTTTCCATAATCCCGTCATTTTTGTTCAAATCCCTTTCATTAAAAGGCGAAGATGCATGACTAGATACTGAAACGTAAACCTTATCAACCAGGGAACGATCACGCAGATTGTCAACCATTTGTTGTACGAGTTTCAGCCGGGTTTCAAAATTTACGTCAGAGGGGGACTTGCGGACATATCCGATAATCTCGTAATCATTTTGTTTTAAATTTAAAATTGATGCCTTGTACCTTGGCAAACAACTGCAAATTTCTTCCAACAAACTTTCTATAGAGAAGCATGTTAGTTATGTATTTTGCTTATACTATTGCTTGGGATTACCATAGTAAATATCATCTAATGTATATAATCGTCGTTTTCTACTACTGGAATTTCTGTCCGGCTTTGCTTTTAAAAATGATATGTTGTGGATTGAGCACCACTTTGCAAAAGACTGCGTAGATCGGTTATTGAAAAGAGATATCTATAGTTGTTGTACCAGATTTGATTTTTTAGGACTTGGAATTTTTGGAAATGTCTAGACCCCCGTATTTTTTTCAAATGCATGTTTTTTATATCACTTACAACAAGTCTGGTCAAGACCAGCAGGCCAGTATGGTTAAAACTATTTACAGTGTACCCACAGCCATTTACAGCCTGTGAGTTCGAAAACTCAAGAACCCTGCCTAGGAGGTCGTCCTCCTATAGCAAAGACTAGCCGCAGCCGCAATATCACAATATATCTTTTTCAATTTAGCTTCTTTTCAAAGAAACAAGAGTCATTACTAACTAACCTTTTTATGTGGTCGGTTACTTTCATACGATAAAAGAAGTATGTTAAGGGAAAAGAAAAGGAGGAATAAAGTGTGTGAACCAGCTTTATTTATAGATAAACAAGCTTATGTCAGGATGATTTCATTTGTCTATTTTATCATCCATAATGTTTTGAGCCTTTACTTAAAATAGAAACACTTGCAAAAACCTCCCAAGCAAGTCAGAGCTTGGTAATTGTCTATCTGCGTTCCAGTAGTAGCTTGTAATGACAGTGAAGCAGATTTTATGGAAAACAGAAATCGATCATCCCATGAAGTTTAGATGATATGGCATGTCAATCGATGTGTAGACCATCGCGCGATTCTAAAAAATACGGAGCTCTAGACATTTCTAAATTATTAGGATCTTCATGGCAAAACACTTCATTTAAAAAATGCTTTAAGTGAGAAAGCGTATCCGCTTCTTATCTTTTCATACATTTATTGAGGGCATATATCCTTCATCTCGGTATAGTGTGGTAGTAATAAATCCTTATATAAACGACGAAACATGTGATGGCATAATGGTTTAAAATTTTTAGCGATTACTTTTCTCGTGTTAATGATATCTTTTCCTTGTCAGCCCCTTTGTATGGCTATTAATGCGATATTCTTGTAACATTTTTGAGTCCACGGGGAGTCATTATTGGTATCAGAGTCTAATATGTGTACATGCTCAACATTGTGTGCACGTGTAAATATATCACAAAGATAGATAATCATACGAATGTATTGATGTGCTCATACTGTAGCTTTTTGGTACGATTTAAACGTTAATTGCGTGATATAACTGATCATGGGTGGCAAACTTTTTTAGATAGTAAGATTTGAAGACTTGCTTATTATTTAACGCTGAAACCTACATAAAAAAAATAGCTTATTTGTGTGGCCTTTGGGTTTCATTACTTGTGATGTCGCTTGATAAACGCTAAGAGGATCGTACCAGTTTCCCGTTTGAAATATATTTGGCAGTCTTTATTTTGAAGATCAAGGTACATACAAAAAAATTCAATTTCTTTGGGTTCGCTTTCGATTTTTGACTAGGACTCTTCAATTAAAAAACAAAAAACAAAAGAAGATTGTGATAGCGGTATCAAGAAGAGTTACATCCATGACTTACCCACTCAAACACATTACGCAAGTGACGAAGTCTACAATAATTACTTATGCTGCTGAAGTGCAATCCTTTACTTTGTAACCAATATTATACTCATCGTAGAGCTGCATATATTCCAAAATAGATTATTTTACAACCTTGTTGATAGTAGGTCCTCAAGGTGAGCAAAATACTGTAATTAATTCTATTAAAATATAAGACATTGATGGACTTAATGAATCAATTTTCATATGACTACACACACTACATATTCGGATAGAAAATAAAAGTGAAAAGAGTGGGATTTGAACCCACGCCTCCGAAGAGATCACGACCTTAACGTGACGCCTTAGACCAGCTCGGCCATCTTTCCATATGATCAAACATATGCAATTTTAATAATGTTCTAAAATGTTTATGTTTTAAACGTCACGTGATATACACGTGGAAGCGTTCGTATTGGTCAGATATTTCGTTCAGGTGTTTAAATGCGGTTAACAAGTCTGGGTTTGATAGTCTATCAATTTTTGACAGCTAGTTATAGATATTTTTTGATTCCATTCTTGATTGAGTATTATTGTACTGTTATAAACTGTTGATTATATCGATTGTTGTGGAAGTATACAACTTTTCTGAACAGATTTTAGAGGCGATACTCGTGCAACTCCTATTTTCAGTCGTCGTATATATTTAATTGCAAGTACATCAGTAGTATTTACTGCGAACATTCTTATATTATTATAGCGAAGGTAAAGAACATACCATACAGGTAGGTACTTGTCATATTTCGGCGTCATTAAGTCGATGCTTTGCTGAAATGCAACGGATAAAAACAATAACATCGTACCAGTACCACCAATGATATATCGTTTTAGATATAGTCTTTTTTCTTTCTAAAATACTACATACCGGCAAAACACGATCTGTTTGACGCTCATAGTTCTGGAAAGCATTTTTTTCCAGGATCTTTTTATCAACTTAAAAAAAATTGTAAGGGTTGAGTGCGATCGCCCTTTTTACTAAACACTGTAAAACCCCTTCGGAGCTGAATCTGAAATCAATAGTTTTTTTTTCTTTCTCTCATTTACTTATCCATATAATGTCAGAAACAACAAAGAGATCTCGCTGGGCCTCCGACGAGGAAGAGGAGCCGATTGAAAAACCAGTAAAGCAACAAAAAACAGCGCCTGCCCCTCCACCACAATCCAAAGCAGTGCGCCAAGTAATTATGCGTACAGAACAACCAGAGGCGAAACAATATCCGTATTTACGAGAATGTCGACATGTTGATTGCTTTGAAAGATTAAATCATATTGAAGAAGGTTCATATGGTATCGTATTTCGTGCTCGTGATAAAGAGACGGGAGAGATTGTAGCGCTCAAGAAGTTGAAATTAAATCCTGAAGCCGGTGGTTTTCCTGTCACTAGTTTAAGAGAAATCCATGCTTTAATGACAATTAAACATCCCAACATTGTCAATGTAAGAGAAATTGTTATGGGTAATCACATGGACCAGTAAGTATCAGAATGTGAGCGGATGGCAAACAATTTTTATTTAATAATTTACAAAGGGTTTTCATTGTCATGGATTTCATTGATCATGATTTAAAAGGTTTGATGAGCGATATGCGTTCACCCTTCCTACAGTCAGAAATTAAGACGTTGATGATACAGCTATTATCAGCAGTAGCATTGATGCATGATAATTGGATTATTCACCGTGATTTAAAGACTTCCAACTTATTACTTAACAACAGAGGAGAAATCAAAGTTGCTGATTTTGGTCTTGCTAGAAAATATGGTAGTCCGATGGGAAACATGACACAGTTAGTAGTGACACTTTGGTACAGAGCACCCGAATTATTATTAGGATCGAAGGAATATACCACAGCCATTGATATGTGGTCTGTGGGATGTATCTTTGCAGAATTATTGAACAACGAAGCATTATTACCCGGCCGAAGTGAGATTGATCAATTAGACAGAGTAAGCGTATTTTATCGAAATCGTGTCGTGTACTTGATTCATTGATAAACCATAGATATTCAAATTACTAGGTACTCCAACAGAAGAAATATGGACTGGATTTTCGGAACTTCCTCATGCAAAGAATATAGCTCCTATATATCAACCGTAATACTTGGAAAACGTATAATCCACAAGAATTACTTACACCCCCCCCTTTTCTTTTCTAGATATAGCTCATTAAGAAGTAAATTTACCACTCTGACCCAAGCAGGCTTGGATCTTTTATCCAAATTGCTGACTTATGACCCAGCAAAACGATACACAGCAGAAGAAGCGTTACAACATCCGTATTTCGATGAAAGTCCCGCGCCTAAAGATCCATCCATGTTTCCAACCTGGCCTTCCAAAGGTTCAGGACATAAGTAAGATTTATAATTGCCATTCAAAGATAATAGTTACTCATCCGACAATGTATAGAAAAAGAGATTTCAGTCCATCTGCACCAGCAGCAGCTCATGGTATAGCTGAAGAAGAACCTGGTTTAGCAGGCACTATATTTGGCGGTCAAACAGAATCAACGGGTTTCCGATTAAAACTTGGATAATATGATTTTTAAAAAAAGAAGGGGATGGGGGAGTTGTTTATTCTCTTAAAATACTGTACGCTTGTCAGTCATAACACGTACAATACAACCATTACCAGCAACTTCAGTCAACTAGAAAATAAAATAAGTACCTTTTTCATTCTTCTCTTTGAAAAAACAATGTCGTTACCTTTTCATGCCATGTCAATAAGACACTTGAGTTATATTGCTCTGGCTTACCCATACCTGCATATAAGTACTTCATTAAAACATCTTGTTGTTCAGTACCAAGTGATTTCACAACTTGAGTAATGTCGGATGCACGGAACAAGTTCAATACTTCGGTAACAGTCTTTGTACTTTCACTCTATCAAGGCCATATTAGCATTTTTCTATGACTCGCTTGGATATATAGCTAACCTTTGCTGTTTCAAGATGACGACCATAAGGAGGCTCTTCCAATGCACGAGTTAAAGCATTATTCAAGTCACCTCTGCATCAACAAAAAAATAAGCCATCAGGTCTCTGTTTGAAGTTGCTTTTAGAGAAAAAAAAAGCTTACCTTGTAAGCATGTTGCGAACGTCTGTGCTTCGTGTTTGAGTTGCAGATGTTACTTGTTCTGCTGATAATCCAGTCTCGAATTCAGCAAGGATTTCATCTTCTGTGTAAGCATCCTCATCATACTGATCGATATCAATGGTACGCCAGGACATGTTGTATAAGTTTATTCTTGTTGGTAGGTGAAAAGAAAAAAAGAACAGTTACTTTGGGTTGGATTACACACGAAATTTGGGCGGCGGCGGCTTCCACGACGTCATTGCAGCTTGTTGCTTCATGCACCTCTTTTTTTTTAAGGCACATCCGATATTTCTACTTGTGATTATGTAATTCATCTACGCACATTACATAATTGAGAAAATATTGATAACGTTCAAATGCAAAGGCATGACACTGGCCAAAACAGCAGTAACCCATGAAACTGGAGCATGAGGTAATGCTTCGCTTATCGTTGAGCTATATATGGAAAATAGTACCACCCTACATACCAAGAAAAATGCCAAGACACAGGTTATCTGTCAACGTTGTGCACAAAATTTTCCCAAGACTTGTTATCTAAAGCCAAGTGCCAATTATTTTTTTTAATAAGGGGTATCGAAAGAAATAATTTATTAAGATATTAAGCAGAGATATTAAGCAGAGATATTAAGAGATTTGGTTGGGCCGGCCCTTACAAAACAGGCTAAAACCAGAGCTATGGATGCGACAGCAGCGCAAACAAAAAAGGTCAATTGGGGGAATATGGTAACAGAGGCACTATAAAGTGTATTGATTGTCAATTGAGAGAGGATCACTATATGAAAAGAAAAGGGTTAAACTCGTGCTGAAATCAAATAATTTGATATAAATAAACGTACTGGCACATGCTTCCAAAATAGCCATAGCTCCCATCAATTCTCCAATTTCACTAGGGGAAACCAGTCTTGTAATGATGGATCGAAGCGAAGGTAAAGCCAAAGCAGAGAAACTATGGAACATTGCAGTCAGAGTAAAGCCTTGAGAGGTGGTGACTAAACCATAGACGATGTAAGTGATGATTTCGGCACTCAGTCCTACGCGGATCATCCAAATATCGAATGAAATTGCGTGTATAGCATCAGCATCACTTGGAACGGCTACTGCTTGACTAGTAGAAGCTTCCACTTCTTCCTCTTCTGCATGTTTAATAGCAGAGGCTCTATCCTTATGGAACACTTTAGCAATGAAAGGCAATAAGAAGAGGAGTACAACCAGTTTACTGGCCGACGAAATACTGATCATAAAACCACCTTCATAGGCGGTCCAATGAAATTTGAGCATAGCATAGAGTAAGGTAGGGGGTAAAGCAATCACGGTGAATAAAAAGATGACAGAAGCAGCGATTAAAAGTGCATATCGGTTTGCGTGCTCGGATTTTGTTCTGATGAGTATATGAAGGGCCGAGAAAACATTGATGCGTTGGAAGAAGTTTTGTTGTTGTTTGGGTGGTTGCTGAAAATTCTCAAAGTCATGAGACTCTGGCATGACAAAGATGACGAATAGCTCAAATATTAAGCTGATAACTAATACAATATAAAAAATGCTCATGATAGTACCCGTTTGCTTGATAATGATTGAGGCTACACTAGGACCTATAGATGCGCCGAGAAATAAAGCAGACATCATGTGTCCAAAGGCAACCGTTCTTTCAGTTGATGTGGTACAATCTGAAATGTACGACTGTACAGCAGCAGATACAACAGTGTCACCAGCCAAAATGCCTCGTAAAACCGGCGCAATAAACAAAAGAGAGACTCCAAAGATGTGTTGGTATTTCATTGTAATGATATAGGCACCCGCCATTGAAATATTTCCTAATCCAGATATTAAAAAAACCACCCTTCTGCCTTTTCGATCTGATAAGGCGCCATAGTAACTAGCTACAAGCAAGGCTAAAAAAAGAAAAGAGGGGATGAGTTTGAAATTTAAACGATGATCAAATTTTGTTTGTTTCATCATACTTGAAGCATAGGTCAAAAATACGATGATAGCTTGTGCTTCTGATACAATGGATTGTACTTCAGGAATTGCACAATTCTCAAATGGTATATCTTCATTATCCCCACTTTGAGATTGATAGTATCTGGAAAGGGGAGGGGTATAAAAGTGTTAAACAAGAAAATGGCTTATCAGATTATTTAGTAATCCTACCTGTTGCAGAAAATCATGGTATGAAATTGAATCAGGGGTGCATACAAGCCTCTACAGAGATGTCAATGTATGTCGGCATGAAAATAAACATTTGTTTCTTACCCAAAGCATAAAGTCAACCCAAATAAGGGAGCGATAACATACCACACAGATGGTTTCTTGGCAGTTCTCTTGGCGTCATTTTCCCAGCTGCCCTGTCTTTGACGAGGCAAAAGCGGTGTAACCTCATCCGTCTTGCTTTGACCAGCTTCACTTCCTGTCATTTGTGTGGTAGTAAAAAAATTAAAAAAAAAAATATATAAATATGAGAAAGAAAAAGAAAGGAAACTTGCAAAAATACAAATCCTACTTTTGAATTGAATCGCCTTTTAGGGTTTAATCCAATCAGCCTAGTGATAGGACGTCGCGACACAAAGAAACCGAGTGATTACAAAAAGTCACGAACTCTGTGTCTCTCTAATTTTTTATTTTATTTTATATATAGCATTCTTTTATCCTCGCAACCCAACCATGAGCGAACAGTAATTACACTCCATATTTTGTGTCTAATGGAGACTAATGAAGCATAACTAGCGATATTTTGTCTAATGCGATAGATTCCGTGAGCAATAATGTCGATAATCAACGTGAAGGGCTACACCAAGTAATACAGTGCTTACTCCTCATCAACTCGTAATCTAACCTCGATTTAGGCTTTAAACAAAGCACTTGAAGGAAATGCAAATATGATGCGTATTTTGAGTGAGCTCATGGAGACGTCATATGTAACCAAGGTTTACTTGTGTAATTATCAGACATCGAAAGATAATAATAGCACTATTTAACCAATATAATAGCTAGTGAGATTAACCCAAATGATGATGGTAGTGTCAATGTTGACTTGACTATCCATAACGCGACTTCTTTCCCAATCGTCTTATTAACTGGTGAAATCGATTTTGTTGGACCCGAGGTAATAAACAACAACAACAATGATGATGATGATGAGATTGAGAATGATTAAGTCATTATTAGGTCGAATATTTTACAGAGGGCAGTGTGTTCCAGTCACCCAAAAATGTGAATCCTTTAAAAAAGATTCAAGAGTCGATTCGATTCATATCCGTATCCGATAGACCGATTCATGGTAAAGGTGTGATTACATTAAAGCATCCACATCCCACCACTGGTGAAATGTTGGAGCATACTCACACGTTTGGAATTTATGTCATTGATCAAGTAAAGTTCATTTTTAAAGCTGCATAAAAAAGAAAAGAAGCTATTGAGCTAATCCCAAAGAAAGCTAACTAGAACCAATGTGGACAAATCGGGATCGCATAAATTTCAAAAAAAATCGTATCCAGTAAAGTTCATTCGTGATATTTTGGAGATCCATCCTATAAAAGGCATTGAAATTGGGATGTGTACCGAATTATCCAGGAAAAATGTATGTTTTTTCCCTCATTCTGCAAATAAGGTTTAACCGCTGAATGTCTATTTTTTTTTTTTAGTTTAAAATAGTATGTCAAATTATAGGATTCTCCAATGATCTCGCCAATGCAGAAATAGAGTTTTCTAGCGACGAAAAAGAAACTAACCAAGTTGTGACAAGACTAACAGAGGAATTCGATGTATTAAGTGGCTAATTTTTTATTTTTTTATATGTACAATAAATTTTATGAGAGGGTATTTTTATATGTTTAAAACTTGAATAAAGACTGATTGGGATCTGCACACATGAAATGATAGACCAGGCATACTAGACTAGACAACAACAATAACCTAAATAATCTCCACAAATATTCAGATATTAATAGCATCTTGTCAATACTGTTGTGATCACCCGTATGATGAACTATAGTTTGCTCTGTTGTGGGTTCTTTCAATACGTGAGGCGAATATAATCCGTCTTTCGATAATAATTCACTACTTGATCTTCTTCTCTTTTGTTGCTCATTAAAATGGTCTTCAGCTAATCTTTCAATGACATCTTGACTACGAAACTGTTCAAGAATCACATCTGCCATCATGGGTGCACCAGTACGAGCTATAAGTGCCTCAACCAACTCTTGTAAAACACCCTTTTGCTCCTCTTCCATTTTAGCTTCTTCTAGTGCAGCTTGGGCCAATTCAATGAATCGATCCTTGTCATGGAAACGTGTTTGTTCATCACCACTTTCATCTGTTGTCCAATTTTTACGTTCATCAAGTGTAAAACGACGACACGAAATATCGTTTTTTTTACCGTGGCTGTAAAAGTTGTTATATCTGGCTGTAATCATCTCATCAAAGTTTTATTATTATTTTTAAACAGGGAATAAAAGAAGAAAAGGAAAATCTTTTTTTTTTATATATATATACACAATAAATTTAAGGTCCTCTCGTATCACGCGTTTTATTATCCCAATATTCCCGATAACTTGTTTACTCTTAATCTTGTGATCGCGAATGCATTGTTACTCATCCTTTTTGTCAATAATAAACAGACCACATGCATCAGGGTTGCATCCAGGCCTGTTAACTCTCAGTCTATATATACTGTCGTGTCTGCACGAGATGTCTCGCTGTAGTTTCTGCAATAAGAAAGAACTTACACATGACCCAAAAGCGCATCCTAAATCCGGTCCACAATCAACTTCTCCTTTTGATATTCTCTTTATATCAAAGGAACAATAATCTGCTAAAAAGGTTTGACACCGGATCTGATCGGTTCACAAAGAGTGGGGGGGGGGAAGAAAACCTACTTTTATTCTTACATGCTTGATGTTGCACCATGGTTCCCAGTACCTTTAAATCATCTGATAAATATACTCCACAGTTTTCATATGCCATCTCATCCTTCATAGACACATGTTCTGTAATGTGGTTTTCGTATGTGAAGAAAACGTATTTTTAATCATAAATAGAATAACAAACAATGATTTATAAAGACCTCATGTATTCTTTACAATAGATATTTACTTTGGCGTACTTTTTTTTTATGATGCATAATAAATAAACACAGTTTTTTTATTATAGTAATTAGTATTATTGTTGTTGGTATAGTTATAAAGAGGCAACTCATTTTTGTTTGGCATTCCTATACATGAATCGTATTAGCTAAACCGTTTTACTTTTCTATTAAACTCTACTTACATTGCTTCGAATTCTGCCTTAAAACCCTTGGTAAGTTCAGGACGCTTGATCTTTTGTGCAGCAGTTAAGTAACCCTAAAAAGAAAAAATTATAAGTATAAAAAATAAAACCCAGATTGTGCGCATGTTGTGCTACTTACAGAGTCGGTGGTCCATTCTTCATCACACAAATGTACATCAAACAAGAGCTCAGCTCCCTTCAAACCACCTTCTTTAGCAGTGTCCAAAAGTGACTTTAATACTGCCTTTTTGATTGTCTCGTCCTTACACAACAACTTGAAGTCTGTTTCGGTCACCTTCTTCTCGATAGCTAATTTACGAACCACATTTTCAGCAACAACAGCAAGGGCAATAGGCTTAGGGAACAATGAATCGGCATAGACACAAATATTGGTAACAAGCACACTACTCTTATAGATGGATTCTAATTTCTCAAGGGCAATGTATTCACCGTTACTCAATTTCACCAAATTCTTCTTTCTGTCAATGATACTCAAAGTACCATTTTCGTTCCATTGTCCAATATCACCCGTTTGTAACCAACAATCTTCTGTAATGGTTTCTTTTGTCACATCATCACGCTTCCAATATCCTTTTGTAACTGCAGGACCTCGAACCCAGATTTCTCCCTTGGGAATCACATCCTTGGAAAAATAATTGGCATCAGGCACATCTACTAATTTAATTTCACAGCAAGGAACAGGTGCACCAACATGGCCATAGCCAAAGGCTTCGGGTGTCATAATAGCACACATTCTAAATTATCAAAAAAACAAATTTATCAGTTCCCAAAAACTCTTGTTACCATAACATTTTCGATTAAAACTTTACCCACAACCTATACGTTACACATAGAGATTAATATTCTATTCGACTTTTTGGTCTGTTCTTTTTTCTTATTACTTACTTTCTGTTAATCCATAACCTCCCAAAATGGGACATACAGTAACCGACAAAAACTTTTGAGTCTCGACAGAAACAGGAGCACCACCAGACAAAGCAAAACGAAGACGGCCACCCACTTGCTCTTTAATCTTATTGAATACCACTTTATCAAGGAAACCAGTAGGAAGATGACGTTCCAATAACCAAACCTTTGTTGCGAATGCCTTGTGGAAAATCTTTTGAGCCTTGGGAGATGCTTGGCTCAATTTGGTCAAAATACCCTTTCGAATTGATTCCCAAACTTGGGGTACACCAGTCATAATCGTAGGTCTGAACTCCTTAATATCACCATTACAGTTACGGACAGATGCATCAGTTAATGTACGAACAGAAGCATAACCAAGTCTAATTCATCCCAGTTAGCATATTTCGAATACACATTATTTTTAACAAGCAAAACTCACGTTACACCCCAGAATACACAAAGATTTTCGACAACAAACTCCAATACGTGAGCCAATGGAAGATAAGCAATCATCGTATCGTGATCAGTTACAAGGTGACCCAAAATTGTATTACAACCAGCGACTAAAAAAAGATAATCAATAAAAGAAACATGCATTTTTTTTTCTCAGCGTATACTAACTTGCAGCAACCACATTCTTATGAGATAAAATAACACCCTTGGGATTTCCTGTACTTCCAGAAGTATACATGATACAACAAATATCCTCAGGTTCAGGTTGTCTGGCCTCTCTTGGGTTTTCTCTTCCCAACTTTGCTACTTCATCCAATGAAATAACTCGCTGAGTGACGGATGAGGTTATTTTTGAAAGAACGTCGGGCTTGACCTCACCACTGTAAAAGATGAATTTGAGACTGGGACATTTCTTAGCAACCTTTTGAACAGTAGGTAATAAATCTCCAACAGTATAGATCGCCTCAACTTCAGTTTCATTCATTGAATGAAGTAAACCGTCTTCACCTAAAGTGTCGTAAGCTGTAACAATAGTCATGTTTTGAGTGAATGCACTATGAGCTGTTAAAAGCCAGTACATACTACAATAGAAAAGTTAGTTGATATGAACGTGTTTTGCTTTAGATGCAGGTGAAAAAATTACTTTGTGGGAGAAAAGACTTCAATCTTTGATTTTTCTTTAAGGCCAAGATGAGCGAAACCAGCACCAACATCATGAGCCAAACGAGAAGCTTCTTTGTAAGTTAAATAATGATAGGGAGATAATTGAAAGTATTTCCAGGTTTTCATTTCCTTGACTTCTTCGCCATTGACGAATTTGGTCACTTCCTTTTCTTCATCAATCATTTTATCCACCTTACGAAATCCAAAACCTTTACGTTCAGGAAACTTTTTTGAGCTATAATTTAAAACATCATAGAGTGTATGCACATTATGGTGAGGAACGCGAGCGATTCCATCGGCAGCAAATACTGATCTTCGGATACGTCCACCGTTAGGTTGTTCAGGTCCAACTTCAACTGAAAATGATTTCATTTTTTTCTTTTCTTTAGTTTTAAAATATAAAAAAAGCAAAGAAGGGAAAGAAGAAATTCATGAAACACTTTATATTGCTACTTCCATAAAATCCATCTTTTTTTTTTGACTGGCTTTTTCACATGAAATTCACAAAAACTCAGTTGCAGTTTTACAATGACCGCTGTGGATAAATGAGGACATCATGTCCGTGCTTTTTTTTTTGTGGAAAGATGTATTTTTTTTTGATCGATTCTTATGAGCTATATTTCTTATAATTTATAATGTCGGAATATACCATGAATATATAACTGCATGTAAAATAATTAGCATAATCATACATTTTCTTAAAGTTTCTGTATATTTTTTAATCCTCTTTTTTCTTATTATAAGTTAGAAAACTGTCAAGGATATAATGTCACATGTGAGTAAATGAACTCCTATTCTCGCTAAATTCATTATTAATTGAACACAAACTTTTTTTTGCTTGAATACACTTCTCGTGTTCTATACCATGCGTGAGAAGTGGTTGCTTCCTCTTCAATTAAAATTTGTCACCTTTTTTTTTCATACATGTTCATCCATGTATAAAAGATGAATACACTACTGATTTTACTTGTGCCAACATCACTAAAAAGAAAAAGGAGACTTTTTCAATTTAGAGATCATATTGATTAGAATACAGCAATTTTCTTATTTTTAAATCCCAGTTGATTTTTTAAGCAGAGTCGTACCAAAAGTTAGGAATCGATAGAAAAGAGTTGTCAACTACCGCCCACGTTATTTTAGGGTCAATGCTATCTTCATAAGAATCCCTGATTCGATACACGAGTTGGGTAGTTGTGTGTTCTATATATATATTTTTTTTTGTTGTTCATGTATTTTTACTGGCAGCATGCATACACCTTTAACGTCATTGGAGATCCATTAAAATACCGAATAATGCCCTGATTGAAAAGTAAAAATCATGTTGGCTAAAAAGTTGAAGCCTATACGCATACATTCACGAAACTAGAACCATTCATCAAAAAGTTCTTCCGATGCTTTGTATTACCGTGCTATACTATCCACAGATCTCGTCCTAATACAATTCTTGATATATAATGATATATGCATATCACGGACTGGTTATAACCCTTACTTTATTGTATACAGTGTTGTTTATGTAACCACAATCATGTACTTTATCCGGCTTATAACTATAAATAAGTTGAATTAACATTGGGCTTTAGTATTAGACCGCGATTAAGGTTTAGGTTCTGGTTGTGATCAATTATTTTAATTGCATAATATGCGTATCTGCTTTGTCGTAGATAATGATCCCGTAAGGTGCTACATTGTTTGAATTTTTGAGATGCCTGATTATTAACAAATTCATGAGTAAAGCAGGCAGAGACACGATCAGGAATATTAAAGGGAGAAAAAACATGCCAAATAACCAAGTGACTGGTTCATTACAATTAGTCTTTGTCTTAGGTACATATCAGATAAAAAAAGTGCAAACAGTACTAGTGGTTGGGATAAATGTTGGTTTGGTAAGCATGAATAAATAGCTCAATACATATTATCCATGGTTAGTCAGATACTTTTTTATTCGTAAAAACGTCCGATTTTTTTGAGTAGCTTGATGTAACGAAACTTTACCTAAAGAGCACTGGTTTTGCTTATTGTTGTTGGGAACATTTGCAGGATGGCCTGTTATCCGTGTCATTCTTAAATTTTTATGCCTTTGAGATACGTGCGGCTCAACTAATTTTTTTTTTTTTAAAAATTTGAGACATAATTTCGACCTCACATCCACGAGGGAGTACGACGCGCTTTGTCCTTATGATAAACAGCTTCAAGCCCTAGCCAAACATTTGGCATGAAGCAGCTTTTAAAGAATAACTGTGAACTTTTCTCGTAACTTGCTTTATTTGCCGTATATCAATTTTTTTTTCTTCACAAAGCGGCATAAACTTCATTGTCAAACTGTAAATAATAATCTTTATTCAGTCCTAATCAAATCGATCCTTTTAGAATTTCCCCATATGCGAGAAGAAATAATGAAGTTATAATTACTTCACTGTATAACTATTGATACACCAATTTGGACGCATCAAGTTGTAAGCCGCAAATACAACTATAGCATTTTAATTTATACTCATAAATAATTATAATGGAGTTCAGCATGAGAAACTCTAGTGTCTACTTTTACATTTAGCTATTATTAACAGAATACTTAAATCTACCATCTCTACAGAAATTTATCTTTCAACCAAGTCGATCTTAAACAAGTGTCGATCCTTCTCATTTAATAATCTGTAAAAATCTTATTTTGGTAACCATTGCCTCGTGATTGCACCTAAAAGAAAATAGAGCTAGAAGAATTTGTCCTCCCATATCATATGATAAACACAAGGATTGAGCTTCACCAATTTAGGCAATATGCTGGGGGTACATATTGTGCGACCATTGTTCAAACTAAAGGCACTTTATAATACATTGCTCTGATGCATTGCTTCCACTGCCATTTGGACCTTTTTTAATACATTGGTGACATTTTTTAAATCATTTGGATATTTTCTTCTTGATTCATTTGGACATTTTTATAGATTTTTTAATTATGCTGAGTTTGGTGGAAGGTACACTGAGGTGTAACCTCGCTGCATGATTATTGGATCAATTATTTGAAGGACATGAATCGGAGCATTATCTATAATGATAAAGTATCCTTTCATTTCTGAGAACTCATCCATGACAACCATGGTATCAATAATAAACTGAAGATAATGTTCACCTATAGTACACTTGGGTACAGACAATTGATCCTCGGATGCTTTTCTTTTGTAGCTCCCACTGCTTTCCTTCTTTTCAAATTTCCAAACTCTTACATAAAAAAAAATGTAAAAATTTGGATAACAACAAAAAACAGAAAGGGATAAGAATGTAAAAAACACTGTCCAGAACGAAGTAGAGACTTACGATCTTCTTATCTATTTACATCCTTGCTCCCCTCCCAATTCACACTTACCATCCATAAAAAGAATAAAGAACCTGATTTATTCAAGAACACACAAAAAAATACGCAAACTGATGCAAATTTTGCTAGTGGAAAAGAGACAGTATCCAAGACGGCTACAATAGATTGTAGCTTATTTGAATTTATAACAATAATTAAAAGAGAAACAAGGGATAATTACATATATATTTGCTTTCAAGTCCATGAAACCAAAAAGTAAAGTGCCTTTATTATTGGCACAGATGTCATGTGCCAATCCTATGTAGTCGCGTTCAATAAAAAGACAATGTCTACATTCACGTCTTTTTGATAAATCTTTTTACCTTTTTAAAATCCCCTTATACAATTTTTATCATTAACCTTGTGCCAACAACGAACCATTCGATTTTCTCCCCCCCCCATGCTTACAATTGTTAATGGAAAGGTCTCGATTGTATTGCGAAGACTAGCCTTAGCCGTGGTAATAAAAATGAGAGTATATCCTTTTTTTCTTAAAAGAAAAAGATAGGCTATATATCCCATCCGAGCTTAAATACAAGCAATTCGGAACTTGTTAATCGTCTATCAGCATTTGGGTAACAGCATGCATCAATAACATAATAATTTTTTATGTGACTTAAAAAAGTACGTTGAAAAAAAAAAAAAAAAGACGAAGGTGTATGAAAACGCCTATTTTCAGACGCGTTTTCTTTCTTTCTTTCTCTTTCTCTTTCTTTAATTTTCTTTATTTTTCTTTCCCATCCCTTTCCCTTCCTTTCTCTTTTTTTTTCTACTGCTGTTAATGGCTTGTTTAAGTGAACAGCGGTAACGTGAAAAAAAGATAAAGAGTAAACTCCAGATATGAGTGTATTCGAAGGCGTATAGTAAAATACAACTGGTAGGACTAAACCAGATTATAGTAAAAGACAAACTAAAGATTTCATTAAATAGTTTCGTGGTCCTTTTATAAGAAAAGGACCGCAAGGCAGTCAAGAAGGGATGAAGTCAAAAAGGACGAACAGCGCCTTTTTAAATGGTATAGGTTTATTTGCAAAATGTCTTTAAACTTTTACAATAACCATTTAACTTGTTTAGGACATAAAAACTTATATAAAAACACAGTGACAAACCCTCAGCGCAGTAACTCTTTTTGAGAATTACTCTGAAGAACAACTGCGCGAAGAAGCAGAAGAAGGCATAATTAAGGTATTAAAAGAGATAAGAGACGAAGAGGATTCGACGGTGATTGGACATTGGTGTCGCGGCATATTGAATGATACAACGAATGTAAATTATTATCATAGTACATAACATTCAAAAAATCTCATTTAATTATTTATCTCCTCAGTTCTTTCGTTCCGAGGTGGTGATTCTTGGTTGTGGTCCAATGCTCGGAGGTGGTGATTTTTGGTGGTGGTCCAATGCTCAGAGGTAGATGTCACGGCTGCATATTGGACGACACAAATGCAAGCCACACGGAAACTTGAGGATGATGTATGGGATATAGAAAACTGCTTTAGAAGGAGATAGGTCGTGAATTCGAGAAAATTTAAGGCATACAGAGGATTACAAGATGCGCTTAATGAATGTAGTGGGGAAGGCATCAGTGGAAATAGTCCTGTTCTGATTGAGAAGGTTGAAAAGAATGAAATCTTGTTTGGCGACACCAGCCCAGGGACCATAACTAAAAGATACGCATAGTCTAAATTGCCCAACTTTAAAACGCTATCTGATAAAGAAAAGCTTGTTGTAGGGTAAGTCGACTATTCATAATTAGTGTATACATCGCTTATATTTATCGTTTTATATTAGCCTCTGCGCAAATGGAATAATAACGAAACCTTTAAAAAAAACATGGTCCGTGATGCAAGTATGGTGGATATTCTTGGTGATGAGGAAATGCTTGGTGGTGGTGATTTTACCACCGACAACGTTGTCGTAATTGACGCCAAAATAAATTGAATACGACTATTTAATCTATCTTTAGTTATAATAAACTTCATTTATCACAACAGACACAGTGCCAGTTCCCATAATCTTCTGCCTGGAAATCATACCTTACATTGAGCCCTGGTTGGTTGATTTACTGCGGTTCCTTCTACCTACGCAGCTCTCGTCAATAGCAAATTCTCTTAACAGACTACCAGAGGAATCATTTTTATTTTTTATGAGAATGATATGTTCGTCATTCCAAAAAAAAAAAAAAAAAAAAAAAAAAAACTTTCGGCTACATATTTAAAAGTTAAGGACTAAAAGGAAAAGAAAAGATCAACAAGTTTGTCTTTAGCAGTACTTATCAACTATTAACGAACAACCTGAACTTAGCCATTAAACTTTATATGAGAAAAGATAGTTTCTGGTTTGATTTAGTTCTTAAAAAATATTGAAGCCTTGATTAAAGGAAAACGTAATCAGGGTGACGCATTTCACACGAATTTGAATAATGAGTATACAACGATTTTGTGACAATGATAAAAACATAGAAGTAATCATGATGGCAAGTGGTACACTTTAAGGCTTTTTTTGATTAAGCGCTGTGAATATAAACGAATTAAACAGTTGCAAAGCTCGTGTTATAATGAGGTAAGACAAACATATGAAAGTATCTATTTTTTTTAGTCGCAACAAGTGGCTCATTTACTTTATGATTATAATGACGAGATTTTTTTTAACAAGAAACATTTGTCTAGAAATTTGAAGCTCGTACCACCGTATACTACAACCATTATATAAACACTATATTTAGCCTTATAGCTCTTTTGGGTGAGTATTTTAGAGTGGTTAGAGTGTTTTGGTGTGTCAGATCTATAAGTTTCAAGCAAGATATATATATATCAATAACTCCATAATTAAAAGAGGAACAAGTTGTATTTCGTCTAATTTTAATTATCTATTCACTGTAAATATACCTCTACGGAATAGTCGAAAGGTATTGCGATCGCTTTGAGTCAAATACAGTGTACTAAGTTTCTAAAATAAAGATTATGCTAGATTTGATACCCCGGGATCCAATCAGGAACTTAGTTTAATGTCCGTTATGAAAAGACCAAAGTCTTTTACATTTTCGAAACAAGCAGACCTCTTGTTTCTCTCAATCTATTATTTTTTTCCAAGCCCACATAGTTATATTTTTAGTAAACATGTCAATTCTTCTTGGGCTTAGCTTTTTTGTTTTTGTTTTTTTATTCAAGCACATCATTTAAAGATGTAGCGATCTTATTTAAATTAAATATACGTATGAAAGGGGAGATAGGGCGCGTAACTATATAATTGCTTTGGACCATGAGAAAAGTCAAATTAGATAGGGCAGTAGGTAGGGCTTAAAAAAGGGATTGTACATGAAACGGCAATAGTTACACGAAAAGGAGTGATAAAGGGAGGAGGCGGAGATGATCCTGGAACCTTTTTCAGGCCACCGAACAACTAACGGTCTTCCAATATTGAATTGCACGCCTGGATGCATCTTGACCGGAAAGTGACCAGTGTAAATCATGTTTACTAGTATAATTAAATAAAGAATATGCATGTATAAAAGCTATATTTAATTGTTGAACAAGCCATAGACAAAAGAAAAAAAAAAAACCCAAAAATAAAAAGTTTCATTCCCCTTTATTCCGTCAAATTACATTTTGATATAAATAGATCAATATCTGTTGTCTTTTTTTTTTTTTTTTTTTTTTTTTTTTTGCTTCTTCAAGTATTTTCTTTTCTCTTTCCATTATTTTTGTACTGTTAATATGAAGTCTGTATACTTAATTATTGCGGTATTGTTTGTTTCGATATGTGTAGTTTTTGCACAAGATCCTTCCTCTATTGTTGCCACTACACCTGTTGCAGCCACATCCGAGGCTGCTGCCACTCCAATTGCAACGACAGAACCCCCGGTTGCCGTGACTACAACAGTTGCGGAAACAACTACAGCTGCTGCTGTTACTACAACAGTTGCTGTCACTAGCACTACAGATGCTGCAACTGCTTCTCCTTCGACTACTGCCATAGCCGGTGATTGTTTGTCTGCTGATGCTTTTTCCACCACCGATTACTTTCCCAATAAGCTTGATTTGACTAAACTTGGTAAGTTACAATTACTAAAAGTGAAGGTTATGTGCAACTAACTCATTCCTACGGACGCAATAGATGCCTCTGCTCAATTTAGCGTGACATATTCAAATACTTATAAACTGGTACATAATATCGCATTAGATGAATACTATGTTCTTTACTGTACAAAGGCACAACCTGATGTTGGAAAGACTTTCCAATCCAAGACTTTTATTCAAATCCCCGTCACTTCCTTTGCCGCAATTGACACAAGAGCTCTTGGCTATCTTGATGTACAGTAAATTTTTTTCTTTGTGTTACTTATTTTTGTCAATAAGCCTCATTTTTTTTTTTTTTTTTTTTTTTACTAATTTAATTTACAT